CTCTTATTCATAAGGGATTGCTACAAAGCCTAATTTTGCCTTCATGTGTATTTAAAGGTACAGTGACCATTGTTTCATATCAATATAAAAGGAGGTGAAACTTATTGTTGCTGCAACCAGGAAATTCTGCAGTTGAGTTCCAATTAAAGAAGTATTACAAAATAAATATTACATAGAGCCCCCACCCACCGCTCAGGGGTGGGGGCCAGGGGTGGGACATTAGGTCCCCCCCTTATTCTAATTTAGGGCCCCCACCCACCGCTCAGGGGTGGGGGCCAGGGGTGGGACATTAGGTCCCCCCCTTATTCAAATTTAGGGCCCCCACCCACCGCTCAGGGGTGGGGACCAGGGGGAGGACATTAGGTCCAGCCCCTTATTAGTATCTAGGGCCCCCACCCACCGTTAAGGGGTGGGGCCGGGGGGGGGGGCAATAGGTCCCCCCTTCAGGTTAGAAACCCCCACTCGCATGGCACGCGTGGGGGCTCAGGAGGGGGGACCTTTTTTTTTTTTTTTAAGTGACCATAGGCTGCTCACTGTTTAATAGACATGCCCCTACTCGTGGTATAGCGAGTAGGGGCATTATTTACTAATACTAAGTAATCTTTACTTAGTATTAGTAAATTTGTCTGAGAAACCAATTTAGGTCTTTCAGCCTTTTAGTTGATAGCTCCCTAATACCATGGGAATTAGGAAGTTATCTACTTATTCATTCCTGTCATTACATTGACTGGCTAAGTAACTTCCATTTTATATGAATGTATGTTACTTGATTGTTGCAAGTGTTGCAAATTCTTACAGCTGAATCCTGGCTATGTTTGTATACTTTTTATTTAAAATTGTATACAGTATAACATTCTTCATTCTTTCACTGGGTAAGTATATTAGTTCTTAGGCAATACTGTGCTTCAGATCTTCGGCACTTCGGCAACTTTGGCACTTCGGAAATTCGGTAATTTTGTAAAAACTTCGGGACGTCGACAATTCGGCAATATATCTATTTGGACATTCGGAAGTACTCGAATGTCCAAAATGCCTGAAATTCGTCCAAATTCACATTCAGACCGAAACGAATTGCACATGTCTAGATACTACCCAGTGATGGGACTCATGAGAAAAGTATACTCAGTCTGCACCTGGGTGAAGGTGCAGGCTAGAGTCAATCACCAGCAGAGCACCACCAGGGATCTGCATGCTCACCTCCCTGGTCAAAGGTAAGAAGCAGCGAGGGGAAAGTAACCTTTAATAAGGAATAAATGTAAATGAAATAATAATAATAATCAATATATAAAACTGTTGTCCTCTCAACCTCCACACATCACAGCCCCTATCCCACACCACAAATTCACACACTCATCCCCTACCTACATGCACAGACTGCTTTTACTATTCAAACATCTACTATGCAAACTGGATTTCCTATACACACACATACTACATCAGCTACATAAACATACACTACATTCTCTAAACACACACATAAAATCCCCTACAAACACACACTGCATCCCCTACATACAATCACTACATCCCCTAAACACACACCACATCTCCTGCACACATAATCGCTACCTAACCTATACCGGGAGTAAGCAGCCTTAATAATGCTGGCAAAGCATCAGGTTAGATGTAGTCTAGGGATGTGCATGGGCAAGAAATTCGGTTCGGTTCCGTTGGCAAAATCAGGTAAGTAAAAAAAATTAGTCTGCTTCGGCAATTCAGACCAATGGCATTCGGTTCGGCACTTCGGAACTTCTGCGCTTAGGCACTTCGGACATTCATAAGCATCCGAATGTCTGAATGGCATCAAATTCGTACAAATGCACATTTGGAGTGAAACGAATTGCACATGTCTGTGGTCACATGAATGCAAGCCAACACTCTGACAGCCTGATTTATATCCCCTTAAGGACACATGACGTGTGACATGTCACGATTCCCTTTTATTCCAGAAGTTTGGTCCTTAAGGGGATATACTAATCCACCTCAATGGCTCTGTGTGCCTTCATTGGCCAAGTGTCAGTGACAAAATCACCAATATTGTAAAGCGCTATGGAATCTGTTGGCGCTGTATAAATGGACAGGGAATAGTGAAACCGGATTGGGCAAGCAAGCATTACATTGCACAAAAGGAATTAGCTTATTGGTCAAGATTCCTGTCATCATTCACGTAATTTTCCCTCCCTCTCTCTTGTTTTGCCACTTTTCAGAAATACAAATCACTTCAGCACTTCAGAGCTTCGGCGCTTCAGCACTTCGGCTCTTTCGGGACTTTGGCACTTCAGACATTCGTAAGCATCCGAATGTCCAAATTAGGAACAAAACGAATCACACATGTCTAATATAGTCCACAACATCTGGAGTGCTGATATTTGCCTATCCCTGCCCTATATCCAGACACAGTAATCCCCTATGCAAATAAGCAGAGGTTTAATTATCTGGTTGTTTTCTTTTTTATCTTTAAAAATTGGAATAAAAATATATGGTACATCTTATATCCAGCCAAAAATATGGAAGTAGGGACGATACACCATTAGGGTGCTTATGGGGTCAACCCTTGCCAATGAAATACCCTTTGCTTTTTGTTTACAGAGTTAATCCTTGCCAATGAAATGCCGGCCCAAGAACATCCCGATGTTAACTCATGCCGTGTGAAGAATTAACGGCCACCTATCCTGGTGTGCCCAAGTATTGTGTTAAACCCATTTGTCTATTTATAGGTATAATTTTGCACTAAAAGTAGTTCATGTATGATTAATATCAGATATCAGTGACTGTGCATGGTTTCACCACAGCACAGGGCTTTTTCAATGATGCTGTGGTGAAACGCATCAGTGTTACTTTTAAATACTTTTATTTTAGCACTTTAATGTTTTATTGTACCCAATAAAGATAGATATTTTACTCTAACTATCCTGGACCATCCTGACTGACTTTGGAACTTCATGAATCTCCTGGACTTCATCATCCATGATGAGGAGTGTACCACCAAAACCTTATGAAGTTAGCAAAACCTACTTTGCCCCAAAGCTAGTAAATGGATTTTCATTTACTTCACACACAGGGTGCACTATATATTTGTTTTTTTACATATACCACTGCACCATCAACACATCCTTAGAGCTGGATCATACCACTCCATGCTGTTTAAAAGAGCCATACAATAGGCTCAAATAAATATGAGTGCAATTCCTATCCAAGCATGGGGAAGAATTGTGATTGGATCAGGCCACAACTTCTAATGATGTGGGCAGTCAAAGGAAACAGTGACAAAGCAAGCAGCTCCAGACTTGAATATAAGTAAGATTTTACTATATTTAGGGAGGCATGAGGGGGGCGGGGTGCTAGATGGTGGTTTTAACCGTATAGGGTCAGGAATACATGTATAGTGCTCCTTTAACTAGTATTGAGGAACCAACAAATGAGGGTTATTGAAATCGGCTGTGCAAGAAGGTGTGGACCACAGGAACACCCTAAATGGATTAAAAGGACCAATCAGGAAGAAAAAAAGACAACACACCCACAGAACCACAAATGACTGAAGGGATTAGCCCTATTTCACCCAGTTACATACTGCCTCCCAACCAGTCACCCAGTCCATACTGCCTCCCAGCCAGTCACCCACTCACATACTGCCTCCCAACCAATCACCCAGTCACATACTGCCTCCCAACTAATCACCCAGTCCCATACTGCCTCCCAGCCAGTTACCCAGTCCCATACTGCCTCCCAACCAATCACATACTGCCTACCAACCAATCATACAGTCACATAATGCCTCCCAGCCAATCACCCAGTCACATACTGCCTCCCAGCCAATCACCCAGTCACATACTGCCTCCCAGCCAATCACCCAGTCACATACTGCCTCCCAGCCAATCACCCAGTCACATAATGCCTCCCAGCCAATCACCCAGTCACATACTGCCTCCCAACCAATCACCCAGTCACATACTGCCTTCCAACCAATCACCCAGTTACATACTGCCTCCCAACCAGTCACCCAGTCCATACTGCCTCCCAGCCAATCACCCAGTCACATTCTGGCTCCTAACCAATCACCCAGTTACATACTGTCTCCCAACCAGTCACCCAGTTCATACTGCCTCCCAGCCAGTCACCAAGTTCATACTGCCTCCCAGCCAATCACATTCTGCCTCCCAACCAATCACCCAGTCACATACTGCCTCCCAGACAATCACCCAGTCACATAATGCCTCCCAGCCAGTCACCCAGTCACGTATTGCTTCTCAATTAATCACCCAGTAACATACTGCCTCCCAGCCAGTCACCCAGTCCTTACTGCCTCCCAGCCAGTCACTCAGTAACATATTGCTTATCAATCAATTACCAAGTCACATACTGCCTCCAGGGCCGGTGCAAGGATTTTTGCCGCCCTAGGCAAAAGTAAAGTTTGCCACCCCCCCGGCCCCGTGACATCACAATGCCCCACCCATGATGACCTGCCATGTTAACTAACGCTAGTGCTGCAGTGCCGCTGTGTTTACATTAAAAGGCCTGCTATAGACACCAGAACCACTACATTAAGCTGCAGTGGTTCTGGGGACTATAGTGTTTCTTTAATGTGAGGTAAATTAGAGATTAGTGCCACGAATAATATACTAGATTACCTACTTACAAGCAGATGAGGATGATGATGGGCTCTAGCTGCAGTCTGGCTCCACTGGTCTGGTGTATAACAGGATCTCTGGAGGCTGCTTGTAACTGTGGTCACACAAATCAATGTTCTGGGAGAACGAGAAGCAGCTCCATTTTTTGGGGGCCCTTTACACAGCTCAAGGTCTGGGTCCCAGGGTCCACCTTCATGTTCCACCAATGAGTTTGTTCACCGGGGGTGGAGTGTGTAGGGGATGTCCTGATTTGTGTGTAAGGAATGCATTGTGTGAATCTGTGTTTATATGTGTAAGGGCTGCAAGGTGTGTTTCTGTGTATGTAAGGGATGAAGTGTGTGAGTCTGTAAGGGGTGCTTTGAGTGTGTTTAAGGGGTGCATTGAGTGTGTGTGAGGAATGCATTGTGTGTTTCTGTGTGTGTAAGGGATGCATTGTGTGTAAGGGTTGCATTGCGTGTGTGTGTAATGCATTGTGTGTGTAATGCATTGTGTGTTTTTCTGTGTGCAAGGGGTTCATTGTCTGTGTGTGTAAGGGGTGCATTGAGTGTGATTGTGTGTGTGTGTGATGGATGTCAATCTCTCCCCCCTCCCTTGTCTCTCTCTTCTCCCCCCCTTCCCTTGTTACTCTCATTCCCCCTCCCTCCCCTGTCACTCCCCCCTCCCTGTCAATTTCTCTCTCCCTGTCAATGTCTCCCCCCTCCCTGTTAGTTCCCCTGTTAGTTTCTTTACCTCCCTGTTAGTTTCTTTCCCCCTCCCTGTTAGTTTCTTCCCCCCTGTTGGTTTCTTTTCTCTCCCCCCCCCCCTCCGTCAGTTTCTTTCTTTCCCTCCCTCCCTGTTTCTTTCTTCCTCTCCCTCCCTCCCTCCCTGTTTCTTTCTTCCCCCCCTCCCTCCTGTTCTTTCTTCCCTCCCTCCCTCTTTCTTCCCCCTCCCTCCCTCCCTCCCTGTTTGTTTCTTCCCCCTCCCTCCTGTTTCTTTCTTTCTCCCCTCCTGCCTCCCTCCTCCTGTTTCTTTCTTTCCCCTCCCTCTTTCTTCCCCCTCCCTGTTTCTTTCTTTCCCCTCCCTCCCTGTTTCTTTCTACCCCTCCCTCCCTGTTTCTTTCTTTCCCCTCCCTCCCTGTTTCTTTCTACCCCTCCCTCCCTGTTTCTTTCTTTCCCCTCCCTCCCTGTTTCCTTCTCCCCCCTCCCTCTTTCTTCCCCCTCCTCCCCTACCTGTGTTGTAGCGTGGCCGAGCCCAGTATAGTCGGTGGGTACAGGGAGCTTTTGTTTCCTGTACCCGGCCGGACTAACAGGAAGTGCACACTCAGTGTGCACTTCCTGTTAGTCCGGCTTGGTGAGAACAGGTACTCCTAACGCCCGACTTCTCAAGGGCTCGGCTTACTATCAGGAGTGACAGGAGGGAGCGCTGAGCGCTTCACTCCTGTCAGCCCCTCTCCCCATGCTGCACCCGGGCGGTGCGGTCCGCCCTCATGGACGCACCGCCCGGGCAAAGCTGCAGCCGCCTGAGGCTCTCTACAGAGCGCTCGGGCAGCTGCAGCATGGGGGAGCTGGCGCTTCTGGCGGCTGCCTAGTCCGCCTTACAGGTAGCGCCGGCCCTGACTGCCTCCCAACCAATCACCCAGTCACCTACTGCCTTTCAACCAATCACCCAGTTACATATTGCTTCACAATCAATCACCCAGTCATATACAGCCTCACAGCCAGTCACCCAGTCATATACAGCCTCCCAGCCAGTCACCCAGTATTATAGCCCCTCACAGCTCTGATCATAAGCTTTTATTATTGTTGTCATGTCTGAGTGTAGAACCCATGCAAACACTACATTAAATACGAATGACCTTTCAGCCCTATGACACAAACAATACATATCCATTAATTAAGGAGCGTACCTACAGTTTAAATACCAGTTGGTATATCTAAATCATGAGTCGTATTCCTGGCACTATCGATCCCCCTGTCTCCACCCACCCTCACGCCCTCCTACCCCCTCTTCCCCAGGCAATAAATGGTTAAAAACCCTTTATCTACTTACCTTTTCCCATGACGCTGGGTAGATGCTCCACCCACTCCTCCGTCCTGCAATGAGCAAGGTAGAATGAGCATTCAATTATTTCCTATGGGGAAAAATCTGATGCTGGATGTCCTCATGCAGAGCGTGAGAACATCCAGCATCAGACACTGGACCAAAGGTCCATTTCAATTCAGGAAGCCCTCTAGTGGCTGTCTAGTAGGCAGCCACTGGAGGCAGACTTAGAGTTGCAATGTAAACAGTGCAGTTTTCTCTGGAACTGCAATGTTTTACACTGCAGCACTATGTGCAAAAGGGACAGCGCACCCAGACCACTTCAATTAGCTGAAGTGGTCTCGGTGTGTACAGTTTACCTTTAACATGGTTTACCCTGTTTCAATATACTGACTCTGTTGAATTCTCGTTGTAGTGTTGATCCTTGTATCTCCAGTGCATGGATCCAAGTTGTTTAGGACTAATGTGTTGTTGGGGCTATTTATATTCCCTCAGTGCTACTCTGCTGCCACCTGCTGATTATTTTGGAAAATGCAGTCTATTGACTTGCAAGGTCATTGCATTTTATATTCGAAGGGTTTCTTTATTATTCACCAACCTAATGACATTTACCTACCCCAATACGCCAGTTACATGTCCCTACAGATCAGGCTCACTCAGACTGAAAAAAAATCCCAAATTCCAGCTGCCTTTCTTTGTCAGCAAGCAGCACTGGTCAGGAGGTATGGAGGGGACATGTAACAGGCATGCAGATTCCTACTCTAGGAGTTCTACACATTTTGAAATGCCTCACCTCTGGTATATTTGCCATGTGGTAGCCATGGAGGGTTATGGCTTGTGGACTGACATATTCCTTGGCCACTGTCTATTACCCTGATATGCCTACACCACCCTGTGTGACACAGTAGCCGAAACAAAAAAGTTTCAAACCCTGTTTTGTTGGATTTGGGTACTGGAAAAGCCAGGTGCTGATTGAGGGTAATGTCCAGCATTGGGTGGTCCACAATGGGGTGGCAACGAGGTGTGGGCCAAAAGAACATACAAATAGACGGTCATGTTAGTCTTCACATGTTGACAACCCATGCAAATGCACTATTGCCTTACAGTAGCATACGCCTTGTGTCCCTCCCAATGTTCTTCTTATTTATATTTAGGGATTCAGAGTCTGGAACTAGACTGAGGATCACATATGACACCTTTAAAATGTTTGATATGTTTAATGTCTGTAAGAGGAGACTTAATAGTCAATTGTTAATAGCCAGTTTATGAAACCTACCACCAATCATTTGCACAATGTTCTTCATATGTTGCCCAACATCCCACACATACCAACAATGCCATTTTTGGTGTAACTCCTGAAATGGGATGCCATTCCAACTCAAGTTTGTTTTTTGGGCCCCGCATCTGGGTACGCCAGAGACCAACTACACAGAAAGTGCAGAACCTGTACATCATTAGACTCTTTGTGCTGCGCAACCTGCAAGCAGAATTTAATTTCAAATGTAATCAGTAGATAGATCCCCACTATTTCTCCTACACAACATCTCTGCAATAGCATTGGAATTAAGAGTATTGCAGAAAGAACCTGCTCACTGGCATGATCTCTAATCTGATTTACTGTGAGGTTGTAGTAATTGTAAAATGATCCTGAAAGGTTCATGCTGTGCTAAGCTATTCATGTGACATATTTGATTTATCTTCTATTTAAAGGGACACTCTAATACTAAAACAACTTTAGCTTATTGAAGCAGTTTTGATGTATATGTAGTGCCCTCACGCCTGATGAGGGAATAAAGCTGTTTAATAACTAGGGACAACAACTCCTTCAGTTCTGCCACAAAAGTATAGGCTGTGTCTGAGCAGCTTGACCCATCCCTTTAACTGACAAACATTCCAAAGGGAAAAGTAATAGAACACTTCCTGAAATAATTCCCATGGACTGTAACAATCAACTGACAATAATCACATTACAATTACTGTATACCCATATTTTTTAGGACCACCACATATAGATCATGCCCCTGTAGTCTCACTGCTCAATTCTCTTCCATTTAGGAGTTAAATCACTTTTGCTTCTATTTATGCAGTCTAGCCACAGCTCCCCTGGCTGTGACTCATACAGCCTGCTTGAAAACAAAAATCAGATATTACAGAACATTGTGTTTAGTTTAGAAGTTATCATATTCTGCTTTGTTAATTGAATTTAATCACAAGAGGCTCTAGCAGGGTTTTAAAAAAGAAAGAGATTTAAAATTCTACAAGGAACTCACTTTGCAATAAAGGAAGTTTAAAAATTAGATCTCTCTTAATAGGAAGTGTGTAGGGAGGCTTTGTGAGTCTCAGCCAGTGCAATTTAACTCCTAAATGGCACACATTTGAGCAGTGAGACTACAGGGGCATGATCAATACACCAAAACTGCTTCATTAAGTGAAAACAGCTTAGGTGTTTAGAGTGTCTCTAAGGAACACTCTAGGGTAGATATGTTACCATCTTTAAAGTCTTTTTTTCTTTTTTTTACAATCATTATTTTAAAGATAGTTTTGCACAAACAGAATAACAGGATCATGCAGTGCAGTATAGAGACCATCATTGATACATCACTCTGCTCCGTGTCTTGGGTTAAATTAAGTGAGCCATATTGTTGTGCTCTCTGTTTCATATTAGAGCTAGTACTTTCTTGGAAAAAGATTAATGAATAGGAACAAAAAGTGGGGGAGGGTTCATCTCATCTCCTATCCCTTTTCCTTCCCTTTCTCCTCCTTATTTAAAATAAATTAAAAGGATCCAACTAGCTTTCACTACTCTCTTCTTGCTCTGACTCTCCAACCTTCCAAAGTCTATTGATTGCGGAACGCCAATGGAACCCACCCTAGCTGTAAAATTAATGGATGTCTTCATTGAAAAGACATATTTTATATGTTATAAAGACACTAACATATTTAATTGATTTCCAAAACATGAAGCAATTGCTGTAACATTTATTTAGTAACAAAATGTATTTGCATATTTTATACTTTCTGGATTTAAAAAAAAAAGACTCACTCTGATTGGCTCCTAAAGATAAGAAAAGGTGCAGTGTTAGGAAATGAATCTACATACTAGATTATAAACATATGGATATTTT